CCTAGTGTTTATATTATTGTATTTATTAATTATATGAATATGTCATGTATTTATATATATATATAAAATATTTAAAAAAACATACTCAAAAATTTTTAAAAAAAATTAAAAAGCCGGAAAATAAAATACTGAGAATAATAATCTTGGCATCAGTTGACATGATTACATCTGCAAAAGAAGAGTGCTTTCTAATATTGTATTAATATGGCCAAAGCATTGACTTTCTTTACGCTATATTAATGCAATTTATTAACAATTTTTGCAATATATGTGCGACTCCTTGTTATACATAACGTATTTACACCCTTGTGCAAATTAATTGAAACAAACTCAATAAATTCAGAAAACTAAGAAAAAATGCTATTTTATTTAAATTTTTACAAACTCAAGAATTTTTAGTACGTAATATGATCTCCACGACACTTTAATAACATTTGGACATGATTCGGCATGGATTCCGCTATTTTTTACAGTCATTTATAATGTTTGTGTCCTTGTACCACACATGAATTAACGCCGTGATTAGCTTCTCCGTAGTTGTACAGTCCATATTTAATGGGCGATTCTTGTATATGGCCCCGAGATTCTCAATTGGGTTGATATCCGGAGAGTTCCCTGGCCATTCCAATGTCTCAATTTGATTCTCAGACATGAATTTCTTGACAATTTTGGACGTATGGCAAGGAGCTAAATCCTGTTGAAAAATCCCTGTTCCATCAGGGTATCGTTTCTTCAACTCTGGAACAACTTTTTTTACCCAGAATAGTAATGTACTGCTCAGAACGCATCATACCGTCAATAGGCTGCAAAGGTCCAACCCCATTGTAACCGAAAAAACCCCGAAACATCTTCTTTAAAAAAACACGAAAAAAAAAAGTTTGCTTCAATTAATTTGCACAAGGGTGTAGATTCATACAAATCCCTCATTTCAAAAAACATCTGCAGCTTCTGGATATAAACTAATTTCTGATTTGAAATCCCGATTAAGGCAACAAGTACTTGTATAATTTCAAAATCTCCGTGTAATTGAAAAAAATTTTTTAATTTGTTTTTTTGTTATGATACTTCATAAACAATACCTTCAATCTGTTCAAAACAACCTAACGATGAATATGTCTATGTTGGCAACGGATTTTTGTATTCTAATTTTGTAAAAAAAAATTTGCGTGTAAAATTATTAAGAATAGGTTTAAAGATAAATTATATCACTCTGCAGTTTTAATTAAACGTTTAATTATTCATTATTTTCCTCATATATTATAACAAAATGTGTTTATAATCGTTAATAGTTTCACTTGCAATCAATCACCTGTGCTTTTTTAGTTTAGCTAATATTGAGGGAAACAAATTTAGAAAGCAAATAAGAGAATGGTATTTTGCAAGTTAACAATTTGATACCCCAAGTTAAATTTCCTTTGATAAAATCCCCTTTACGAGTTAAAAGTTTGAGAAAATAAATGTTGAAATGCTTCTAAAGCTCTGTAGAAATACTTTTTTTGAAAAAATGCGTGTCTTAAAGGAATAAATATGGTTTACAGGCTAAATTTAAGGAAGCCACAAGAACATATAAGTTTCAAATTCATTCGAAGATAATGGCGCAGTTCGAAGCTAAAATCATTAGGTTACATCGCATATTACGATATTTTACTGTTATTGACAAAAAAAGCACGAGCGTTAAATAACATCGTTAAACAACGTTAACAATTTTAATAAGGTAGCTGCTCTAAGAACAGATATTTTATGCTGAGTCAGAAATGTAAATAGAGTTTTTTGATAACAAACCAAAACTGCCATCAGCTGTTTTGACAAACCAAAACTGCCATTCGCTGTTTTGACAAACCAAAACTGCCATCAGCTGTTTTGACAAACCAAAAATGCCATTCGCTGTATTGACAAACCAAAACTGCCAAAACCGATGATTGCCGGTTGGGTGGCCGATCAAAAAACCAATGGTTGCGGGTTCGACTCCCGCTCAGGGCATGGATATTTTCCCCTATCTGATGTACTCTGTTGTGTGATATGTGAATGTGGTCCCCCTTTGATTGAATGGGTATTTGTAGCAGTGTGGCAACGGTAAAGTTCTTCGCCTCAGTGACTCAAGTTTGTAGATGCCCGTCGGGTAACGTTAAATGAGCAACAATTTCAGCGTCTTCCGAAGTGAAAAACGAATAAGTTACGGTTAGGAAAAATTGGAATTTTAATTTGCGCTCAATACTAATTTCATTTATAGTTTATTAAAGACTCTCTAGAAATTCCGAACCCAAGATTTCAAATCTTCATTATTGACTGAGAGGTTTTAACGCCTTCGTTGAGAACCCAAATAATAGGTTTACGTTGCATTTCTGTTCACAAAAGTACACGCTCCATTTTGCAGTGATGCTAAATGTGCCATTTTTACAGAAAGTGGTAAGGAAATAGGTAATAGTGGTAAGGAGTGGTATACCCATAAATGTATACATAATATCTTAAGATGCAACGAGTAAAGAGTGATTAAACTTTTAATAATCTCATATTACATATTAAACTGCTCCTTCATAAATAAAATATTGATATTGCATTTTTCACATGTATTTCGTAAAGAAATGAGATAAGTCAGTGCCTTTAGCCATCTTTTCAAATTTTTCATCGATTCGTCGACTTTGATCTTCTGAAAAATAGTTTTTCCAATCACCAATGACACCTTTTCTTACAAGCTCGCGCATAAGCTTAAACCTTTCTGACGAATTTACGTTAGGTCCACTTCTTTTATCACTAACCGCAGGTTTAAGAGAATCATTCTCAACCACTAAATGTTCTTTTATGGTATTATGCCCGGATGAGTTTGCCAATTCTTCTACATTCATTTTTGCTTTTACCTCTGATTGTTTCGTCACAAATTCTTTGGCTGCTTTTACACTACTGTATTGTTTGATGTTCTCCAAGATTTCTGGGTTCTCTCTTATAGGTTGGGCATATTTCTCATCATCAATAAAAGACGCCATTTTCAAGATGGCAGCATCAATGTCTTCTTTTAATTCCTCATAAGTTACAAATAAAACATTTGGATTGTTTCTGGAAATAAAATAAAGAAATAATGTATTAGTTTTAATATTGTTAGTTAGTAAAAAAATACAAATACTTTGAATGTAACACTACACACTATTTAAATGTTCCTGACATTTTCAAATAGGTTTTAAGTTCACCGACGACTGTGCCTTAAAGTAAGATTCATACAAATGTTACCACGTTTCGCCAACATATTGCCAAATAATTATTGCGATTGCATTGAGAATGGTGAAAAAAATATATAGAAGTTATAAAACGTAAGCGACCTATGCTAGTGGATTTTTCATCATAGACATTGGTTCTAATGTTTTTTCAGATAATGTAAAAGTTTTATTAATATTCTGATAAGGAAGTTTCAAATTACTTTCTTATTAGTTTTCACTTTAGAATTTAAAAGAAAAAACCTTAATTATATAATTTGGAAATATTAAGCATAGTGGTCCATATTAAACTATTAAAAAGTATTTTTTATATTTTTAATTTTGCTACCACTTTTTAAGCTCTTGAGGACCATGCGAACCCTGTTATAGACACAACCACTCGCATTAAACATGCATCAGGTATTAAAACAATAAATTTTGTTTTTTGACCAATATCTGAGAACGACCCATTTGAGTGAATTTCAAACTACTAAAACACAACCGGAGAAAATGCATTCTGACCAGTCAGGCAGCCTTTACGGACATAGCTAGACTTAGTTTATTACAGTTGGTCTATATATTGAAATTTTTGAAGAAAACATGTTTCCAATTCCAATGTTTGTGATCGTAATCGACTTTGGATTGTATATGTTTGATACTGTGTTGAAATTCAATAATTTTAAATAATTTTTCAGGAGTTTTTAAACAGTTTGTTGCTGTTATGTGAAGTATAAACCAGATAATAGTACATTACTATTGGGCTGCGCCCCCTGCTCGCTAACGCTCGATAACCCCCCAAAATTGCTACGCAATCTTATATGGTTCGCTTCGCAAACCAAGCTCGTTTCGCTCGCTATTAACTTATTGCATATGCACAAAATTCTAAGAATTCAAAACAATCATTCAAATCCATATAACAACATTTTTTTTTAAAAAAATTACATCTTTTTAGTAAATACTAAGTCATTAAAATAAATATGAATTCATGTAATTCGTTAAACCTATTAGAAATGTGCTCTAGTATAAAATCTTAAGATAAAATTTCTAAAACTGATATCTTTTAAAAAAGGTTAAAATTTTGGCTATAATTAAGTCTATTAAAAATTGAAATAAGTGAATTGCAATGGAAAAACCTGTGTAAACAAAATGTTATGTTTTTAAAAAATAATAACCATGAACGATTCACAACTTTGTTAAAAACATAAGTATCAGTCTTTGTCTTCTAAACTTTGACGTACAAAAGAAAAACTCTCTGGTTATTTTTAGTTTCCCTTTTTAAAAGCGCTATATGTTGAGCCACCTCATCTAGATTTGGCATATGACATTTTTAGCGGCAATCATTGGTCGATTTTCTAGCCTTGCNAATTCGAACTTGAGATTTATATATATTTGGTATCTCTATACAGGACTGTCTCGGGCAATTGTTAATAATTTGAAATGCAAGTCATAGTTGTTATGATTGAATTATTAAAGAGATTAAAAATAAATAAAAATTAATTGAGTTTTTCTATCACTTTATTTTTAGTTGCCTGTGGGATCCCTGCTTTATGACAAACTATACGTTGCAAAAACTTTTTTTTTTCAAGAACAAACCTCGTTTATCAGTTTTCTGACTATTTTAGCTTTCATAGCATTATTAAGAGAAAGAAAAATATAATCAAGCTACTTTTCTCGGAATCTGTCATGAAAAGCACTTAATACCACTTCATCATTGTTAATATAAAGCCTACGGATTGGAAACAGCATATCTTTACAACAATTAGTTACAATAAAATCTACTTAAGAATATGGTTACTACTTGATACATAACAGTTAAGTTTGTTTTAAGTTTAGCTTTACTATGGGGAGTCGAATCCGGTTCAAGTTATGAATGATGAAAACTTCAACCACCATACGACCTAGGAAGATTTTTAAAATTAGAAAAAACATTGGAATTCTTCTTATTATTTCTAGCGGGAAAAAAACCCCACTAGTTTTTCTGCGAGTTGTGCTTTATATATGCGCAGTTAGGTAAAAAGACAACATTTTTGTCCGGCTTTGGTTACTTCATTTGTAATTGAGCTGAATATTTTAAAATCAATTTTCTAGAATTTAATACAAATTGTTTATTACAAGTTTAAATAGTTTTCAAAGTAGTAATTATGAAACATGACCCTTATTCCCAAGAAAATGCTTTCTTTTACAAACTTGTTCTCTTTAGTGGTAGGCAAGTTTCCACATCTTTATTGTAATGAGAGCTAAGTGTGACGTAACACGTGGAGATGTGCAGATTGTTATGAAAAGTGTCACATAGCACGTGGAGATGTGCAGATTATTATGTAAAGTGTCACGTAGCACGTTGAGATGTGCAGATTATTATGTAAAGTGCCACATAGCACGTGGAAATATAGCAGATTATTTTAAAATTTATCGTGATCACTGGGAAAAGTTGCAGATTACTATAAAGAAAGAATTGTATAGCAGAAGTAGATAGGTAGGTACATCATTTACGTCGCACTAGAGCTGCACAATGGGCTAATGGCTGCGGTCTGGGAAACATCCCTGAGGATGATCCGAAGACATGCCATCGCAATTTTGATGATGATTCCTCTGTTTCAGTATCCCGACGTTCTGCGTGTGAAGTCGATTACTTTATGGTAAAACAGTTTAACTAGGACCGATACCGCGCACCCAGGGTCACTACGCAGGCTGATCAAAGTGGTCACCCACCCGCTTACTCACTGCAGCCAGTGATGCTTGACTTCGGTGTTCTACTGGGAACCATGTCTTTACGATCAGTCCACTGCGGAACCGCACATAGTAGAGCAAGCTTCTTACAAGCTATAAATACAGTAGTCTACTGGTCATGAGTTCGAGAACTGATATAGTATTACTGCTTTCTTTTTAACTCGACAACAATGGTCAAATAATAATGTTTTTGACTAAAGAATGTTCAGATTTGCTGGAATAATAAAAACAATATTTTCCGATCTGTGGAAACTTAATAACTAGCAGGATAACAAGTGAACATTTTATACAAACCTCTGAGAGTACCAGGACAGCACGTGGTCAAAATAATCTCCGAAATAGACGGTCTCCGGTAATCCTGTCATGAAATGTTCAAAAAACTGGTCAAAAGTCTCTTCGCAGTTATTTCCTGGCATATGCTTGGAGTAAAGGAAATATGACACGCAACAATCTTTGGGATTCCTGGCGACGTAGATGTATTTGGCATCTTTCGACCAAGGTATGAGATGAAATGGCAAATGTGACTTGATTATCCCTGGTTTTGACATAATTTCTATTATTTTTGCTCCTGTGAATAAAAATTTTCATGTTAAAATAATTTGTTGTCTTGAATTCCATATCATTAGAAAAATTTAGCCCTTTTTTTTAGCACTTCCATGTAGTATCCCTCATGTAACACATGCGTCTGTTTTTTGGAAACCTTGTAAATAAAATAATGTAGTATGGAAAAAAACCTGAATCAGGACTAATATATAAGTGAGGTAATTAAGATTAATAAGTGAATAAAGGTTAAGTGAGAGAGAACACAAATATTTTCAAATTTTGACCAATAATTATAAGAGAAAAGAAGTGCTAAAATCTTCTAAAACCGGTTTATAGGAAATTGAAGCATAAAAGCAGTTCAAAACTGAGATCGAAAGTATTGCAGTTTCACTAGACAAATAAACCGGTTTTTGATGAGTTATATCTCTCCTTTTCTTACACAATAACAAAATTCTTCTCTTTCATCCCACAGTAGACATTGATTTGTTTTCCAGACAGTCCAAAAAACGCATAATGTCGGGTAAAATTTTTAATGCAAAAAAGTTTTTAAAGAGTGGTAGCAACTTCAAAAGTAGAACTTCTAGAATTAATGGCATTTTAGCAAAGTTTCTAAAAGTCTCCCCGCGAGATAACTGTAAAAAAAAAGTATTTTATATCAGACTTTGTTATATATATAATACAAAAATTAAATACTTTGGTATTAATAAAAGAATTAAAACTCTTTCGTTTTCATAAAATGTCTTTGTTAAAGAATAAGCGCAGATAGATTCTACTTTGGGAATTCAAGACTGAAAACATACCATTGAAATATAAATAGATTTATATTTCAAAGGAAGAGTTATTCTTAGAATCTTTCCCTCTTTCACTTCCATACTAGGAAGCAGTAAATGATTTTCCTTAATGCATAAGGTTACAAGGAATGTACGAAGTGTGCCTTTTTACCTCAAATCTGTGTTGGTATAAAACGTAGGAACACTAGTTTTGCGTGTCCTTTTCATCATGATGTGATCCTGATAAGCTGTTCCGGAATTGTCAGAAGTCTTGTCCAT